GGGTGCTAGGCCACAAAGCCCAATTGTAAAGGAGATCATGGGAGGATACTCCATGGCAACAAAAATGCGGGAGTTCTTTGGGTTTTCCCCATTTTACTTTTTAAGGAGTTCTTCTCTTCAAAGAGTTTTTGTGCCTCCTTTTCCATTTGACCAATTCTACTTTTTAAGGAGTTTTCTACAGTCAATTTTTGTCTTTCCTTTTCCAAGCTGTTGATTCTCTCTTGCATACCTCTCATTTCTTTTCCCAATTTTTCTTCTACCTCTCTTATTTGGCTTTTAAAACCCTTCTTGAGTTCTTCCAAGAAGACTTTTTTGGTTTGAGACCAGTTCATATTCCCCTTTGAGGTTTTGGATGTAGGTATATTGACAATGTTGTCCTCTTCTGAATTTGTGTTTTGATCTTCCCTGTTCCCATAGAAAAGTCTATGGTCAGTGTTCATGTCTGCTTTTTTGCTCATTGTGTTCGCCTATTTCCTGACTTTTAAAGTTGAGCTCTCCTGCTGGAACACAGGGGGCACTGTCCCAAGCTTCTTCTGATGGGGGCCAGGGGCCTGGTCACTTGGCTTTATGTGCTGGGGCCTCAGGTGCTGGCAGCTGGAGGCTATAGGGGTCTGGCAGTTTACCTGATGCTGAGCTGGGATCCTAGTGGTGATGACTGGTGTGTGCTGAGGCCAGATGGGGTTTTTCTACATTTTACTAGGGCTACATTGAAGCTCTCAGCATGGGGGTAAAGTCTGCCTGCTGGAGGAAGACTACTCACCAGGGTTGTACTGAAGCACTGAGAGGTTTGGCTGCTGGAGGACACCTGCCAATCAGCACCCATGGTGGTTGTCTGAGCTGGAGTCTGCCAGTTCCCCTGGCTGTGTCAAGATATGTGGGGAATCCTGGTGTTGGTGCTTGCCTGCTCCACCACCTTGGGGCTCAGGATCTCCTGCTGGTTTGCTGAGGTGGGGCTTGCCACTGGTTTGCCAGGATGCCTCCTGTCTTTTACTGTTCCCTTTCACCAGAGTGAGAGGGACCTTTCTCATTAATCCCTCAAGCCTGCTGGGATAAAAGACTGCTGCACCCCATCCTTCTGCTGGCTCCACTGTTCCAGGATTTTTCCTGGGGCAATATTTTCTGGGTATTTAAGAGGGTTATAAGGAGAGTGAGAATGACTTGCTGCTTACTCTGCCACCTTGGCTCCCAGAAGTCTAACCTCCCCCAGAACCTCCATTTCAAGGAGGGCACTCTGGCCAATCATCTTTGCATTCCTCTTCAGGCTGCACTCCTGATTTTCTCAAACATTTTCTACAATGCTCCTATCCTGGGTACTTTCATCTCCCCTACTCCACTTTTCAGCTTCCTGTTACATATTGTCTTCCTCCATCGGAATGTAAGTTTCTTAGTGGTAGGCATTGTCTTTCTTCTTCTAAATGGATTCTTAGCATTTGTCACAGTGTCTGGCAAATAATAAGCACTCAATGAATGTCTGCTGGCTTGACTTGTTGACTTAGATGAAGTGAACTTCAAAGGAAGAGAGACTGCTGAGTAATGGAGACAGAGAGAGGAAGCGGCCGGCAGGGGACAAGGAGTATATTGGCTTCTGTTCCTGACTCAAGAGTGGAGGGGAGTCATGAAAGAAGGAGCAATGAGCCCTGGAGACAGTGGCCAAGGATGCGATGTCATCTGGGAAAAGTCAGGTTTCTGTGACTTTAAGAAAATGGAAACAATGTGAGATGAAAGAAAGTTCATTAATGGTAGAGTGGGTATTTGAGAAGACTCAATAGAAGAGAAGAGCAAAGGAAAGAGACTGAAGAAGAGTTTGGCTGAGCTGAAGAGAAATGAGGGTATAGGGAGAGGTAAGAGTGGAGAAGAGGTTTCTGCCTCAGTACATGGTGACTCAGAATCACAGAGATAAGGGGAACAGCTGGAGGATAGGAAAACAATGGTGGTTGGGATGGAATTGGACATACAGATAGAAGCAGGTAAAATGACTGATAAATTCAGGAATGCAGACTTTGACAGCAAAGGAATTCTACCAACCCTCATGTTTATCCTTATCTAGGCCACTCATAATTGGTGTATTTAAAGGTATCTGGAATTGCTCACTTTAGATTAGTAGATTTATAAAAGGCTCCAGATCCCCCTTTCTATTTCAGCATCAAACTTCATAATTCTAAATCTCTCTCTACCTCCAACTTGTACCTCTAAGTTGGTCCAGACTTTGGATCCAGCTCACGTTCTGGGTTGTGATTACATGTAGGCCTTCATTTCCCAGAACCAGAACAAGACTCAGACCCATTGATGGCAGTGAGGCAGAAGCAGATGTCTCCTTTTTGTGTGAGTCAATATTTCACTAATGGTTTGTATGCCATCAATAAATGCACAAATTAGGGTAGAAGTGGGTATGCCCAAGTTTCCATTCTTTGAAAATAAAGACGGGCCTGAGATAGAGGGTCATTTGGAGAAAGAGTTGACTAATCCTGGGTAGTATGAGGCTAGGGTAGCCACTTCACTTTTCTTTCCTTCTGCATTATACTAGAGAAGGGCTCGTGCTGGGACTAGGAAATTCAATTATAATAGTTACCAGAAGGCCTGTATAGTGAAGGAGGCCTCCATACCCTGGCAGTATATTTCTCTTCCCTGTCCCTCTCCGCCACAATATCAGAGAGCGGTTCTGACGATGGCTGAAGTGGGACAGTGGGGTTTGGTGTTGGTGGTAGTATTGCCTTCTATGTTCAACAGCAGTAGTCCCTGTCCACCTGGGCTTTTCATGGTGAAAAAAGGCTAAAGGAACTTTTTTCTCAGATGGTAATGGCAAGTAGTATGGAGTGATGTAGTAAATATTAGGTGCAATTGCTACAAATAACAATTGAGAGGACCATGTAACTCAGGAACCTCTTATCTTAGTTCCTAAAAGGGGTCAGGGCTCAGGGCTCAGCACCTACCCACACTCCCAGTGACAGTGATGATGGAGGGTAGAGTAATTCCTGAGGCAGGGGCATCTGTCAACAGTGGCCTACCTCTACCTTGACAGAGAAGGGTATTAAAATGATTATCTGGGGATCGGGGATCACATCTTTCTTTCCCTGTAGCCCCTGGGCTGTATAGGAGAAGGATTTGTTTGATTTAAGGAAGGTTCCCTAAATAACTCCTTTTTCCCCAAGAAACACCACTCATTACAGAGTAATCTGGCTCAATAAGAAAACATAGCTGGGATGTTTAAAGCATATATGGGAGAATTCACCATCCATGGTTCAGTGTAAATTTGTTAAACCAACTTTCTTTCTTCCTTGCTTTGCCATTAGAATGTAAGTTCCTTTAGGGTAAGGATTGTTTCATTCTTTTTATTTTTATCTCCAGGGCCTAGCACAGTGCCTGGCATATAGTAAGAGCTTAATGAAAGAGTGTTGATTGATTCTAATTGAGTTGGGCTGAGGAGATAAAAGTTGCACAGGGTATGTCTGTGGGATAGAAGAGTAAAAAGTAAGGAGGGAAAGGAGGCACAAAAGGGAAAATAGGAAAAATATTGAGGGAAGGTGGGAGTGGGACACAGAAAAATAGTAATTTCTCTCCTCCTCAATCCAGGAGTAATCCTCCTAATAATAATGCCATAACCATACCACTTCTTTATTCCAAAACCTTCAGTGATTCCCCATAGCCTACCAAATAAAATTTCAATTTCTGACCTAGACATTCAAAACTCTTCTCAAAATGACTCCAAACCACTTGTCAATCTTTATCTCCTACTCTCTTTTAAATAAAGATTATCCCCAAAAACATAGTGTAGCTTTAAGCTTTAATAACTATTTAACCTTTAATAGCTTAAAAATTCATTAAGACTTTTGGGAGCCCATGTATTGGATATTCCAGACCAACTGGGCTACCCTGTTCCCGGTTCTTATTCTGCCTTCTCCCATCTCTGCCTTTGTTCATATCCCTTATGTTTGAAATTATCCTCTCCATATCTTGTTTCTTGTATGTTGTATGTTGTATCTCCCTTCCTTGAAATCCCAACTCAGATGCTGTCTCTTCCATGTCTTTCCTGACAACAACTTCCTCAAGTGAAAGTGAGTCTTTCCTTTTACATTTCAATACATATACATAGATGTATACATGTATGTATATTTGATTTTTTCTTTATATCACATCCCCCCTCCAGATTGAATCCTCCTTTGTGACTAAGAAAAACAATTATATTCTGTCCCAGGAGGAGGGAGTTCCATGATCAGTTCTTTGGGCCCTTCATTTTCACCCAATTGTTCAGAATTAGATTTCCTTTTGGTGATTATTATATATCTCATTTATTTTTTCTGATTATTTTGCTCTGTATCAATTCATACAGATCTTCCTATTTCTCTTAATTCCTCATAATCATAATTTATTACTGTACAATAATATTCTAATACATTCATCTACCATAGTTCTTTTTTAATCCATTCCACATTCCACAAATACTCCCTTTGTTTCCATTTATTTGCTATCACAAAGATTGCTACTATGAATATTTTGGTATATAGTGAACTTTTATTTCTGTCTTTGGCTTCCTCACGATAAATATCCACTTAGTAAGATCACTGAGTCAGAGGATACAGACAGTTTATTGTATAATTCCCAAAATCCAGTTAGATGATTACATACGGTTAGATAATTCGTAACTCCACCAAAAATATATTAGTATGTCTCCCTTCCCACTTAAATTTCTTATAACACCTTGCTTGGCTCTCCTTTGCTCTTAACACATTCTACTTTTTATCACACTTATTTGTCCACCTGTAATATTCCTTCCTCATTCATTAAGGAAAGGACTGCATGATTTCATTTCTGTATTCCTAGTGCTTTGCACATAATTGGTGCTTAATAAATGTTGGACTGCATTGAACTGAAATGTACTGGCTCCTGTAAACATAAGAAACATACAGACATTTGATACTTGGCCATGCAAGTAACTTAGCAGAAGGGTGGAAGAAGACACATATGCACCAGAGAAACATAGAATTAAAGAAACCACATCTTACCTCATGGGGTATATAATCAGGAGGCAGTTTGCTGAGCATATCTTCAGCTAGTCTGTAAACTATAGCTTCTCGAGTTTCTCCTGCTCCTCCTCCACTTTCTTTTGGTTGAATGTTGGTAATAGTTTCCAGAACATCAGAAGCAGTGTTACTTTGATACCTGACAAGAATATTAAGCCCTTCAGAATATAACAAGGCAGGGGGTGGGAGTGGGGAACATCTGCAGAGATTATTATTATTAAAGATAAAATATGTACCTGGTAGAATCACAAAAATTAAAGAGAAAAAAAAGCATGTAAGGCTTTTTCATAGAATCACAGAGATTAAGGTATCTCCATAGGTCGACTGGAGAGACAATGTAGATAGAGATAGAGAGGTCCTGGACTTGGAATCAAGAGGACCTAGGTTCAAATCCCACCTCTGACACAACCTTTACGTCTTTTTATAACCTGGTCCCATTTTCAGACCACATTACTTCCTTTTACATACACTATAATCTAGCCAAATTAACCTTGCTGTTCCTCACCTAGAGCACTTCTGCTGTTGTTGGCCTGACTTTGCCCTGCCTTCCACTGCCCTAAGGAGTTGTTCTCTCCTCACCTTCAACTCTTGGAATCTCTACTTTCTTTCAAGACTCAGTTTGAGCACCTCTTCCTATATAAAGTCTTTCCTGGACCCCAAGTTGCTTGTCACCATACCTTGTATAAAATACAAGATTACCTTATATTTTTAAAAAATATGCCTATATGTGTGCATGTTGTCTCCTTGAAGACAGGGATCATTTCATTTTGTTTTTTGCATCCCCAGTGTTCTGTACATAGTAGTAGCTTAATTAATGTTTGCTGATTGTCTCTGATGGCATGTCACACAATCTCCATGAACCTCAGTTTCCTCCTGTTAAAATAGGATAACAATGTCACAGGGTTCTTGTGAGGTCCAAATGAGATAACGTATGCAAATTGTTTTGCTAATCTTAAAGTGTTATAAAAATGCCAATTAATATTATCTATCCTATAACTTTGCTTCCTCCAAGAACCAAAACTAAAACTCAGGAAAATAAGAATCTAGCCTATTTTAGAATATTGTCAAAAGAGAGTCTACAAATTCCCACTGTAACCCAAGGAAACTGTGAAAACCTATATTGTCAAGAAGTTCTTTTGTACATTAATTTTGTAATCTTCCTGATCAGTCTTTATAATCCATTTTCCTGTATTCATCAGCCCGTTCCTTTTCTTCCCTCAAATGCATGACTCACAACTCCATCAGACACTTGTAGACCCTTTAGCCTTCTCTCCTGCAGCATTCTGTTCTAACTGGATCCACTGGACTTTCCTCTTGGATTCTTTCACTCTCTTCCTTTCTAATGACCGAATGTTTGCCTTCTTAACACTTTAATTATATTGTTCTCCTCTTAGGCCAAGAAGATTGTGTAGGAACGGGTATATGATTCTTCTTCAGTGCTCTATTTCGATATTCAGAGAATGGATTTGTTTTAGAAGACTCTTTTGACACTGTTCCTTTCAAAGGATCAGCCAGATTTTCTTTAAAAACTTGAAGTCATTTGGAATTTTACTCTAGTCTCTGTGTTTTTTTTTGACATCTACAAAAACACTGTTTGACATTTTAATAGAATTCACATTAGGAAGTCTTTCTGATAATACTCAGTTTTCATGTTCTTAATGTCTTCCTTTAAAACATGTTCCATAACCAGAGCTAAGATAAATGTTTGAAAATGTTCTTTTATTAATGTGAAGGAAATAATTAAGTTAAACGACAAATATAAATTGTTCAACTGTAATTTGACTGCTTTCCATAAACTAAAAATCTGTATTTTCCTGACTATGTTTTTACTTACATCCTTCTATAATTAATTTTTCCTTACACTGTTGTTTGTTCTTTAAGCTCAGATCTGTTTTCATTTCGTGTGGGGAGGTCCTAGTGAGGTAACTCCCTCTACCCATGCAGATCAGCAACTTTTCTCCAAATGAGGGTATTTTGAGTTTAAGTGACTTGCCCAGCGCCATGCAGCCAGTATGTGTCAGAAATGACTTGAACTTAGGTATTGCTGACTCCTCTGTCCACTATACTGATACCTCTTGAATTATTTGTAGAACTATAATATTGCCATGTATGAGCTATACGTTTTAGAAGATAGGGTTAGTGGATGATCTATCAGTTGTATACATTTTTAGAGCAGGAAGGAACCTGAGAGAGTATCTAATCTGACCTTCTCATTTGACAGATGAAGAAACCAAGCTCCAGAGAAGGAAAGCAATATTCACAAAGTTACTACAAAGTGTGCCACAGTTTAAGGCAGAAATGGTACTCAAACCTAGGTTTTCCGATTCCAGGTCCTTTTCTCTTCCCACTACATGATGCTGCCTCCTTATTTATTCACTAGGCAAAGTAACAGTAATATCTTTCTCAAGAGGGTGCTCAATTTAAATTACTGAAGGATGGTAATTTTGCTGCCCTTATATAAGCACAACTCATTCATTTTAATGCAAGTAACATATGAAATTGAATCTATAGACAATATTAACTGGCATATGACCTCCTCTTCCTGGACTGATTTGCTTGTATATATGTAGTAATGCATTATTTATTTATCCAATCTTACTTAGGGATATCCTATCAATCTAGTCATTTGCTGTCGTTCTTGTAGATCACATTTATTTTTACTTCTAGGCCTTTGTTTATGTTGTTCCTCACCAACCTCCAATGATTTAAATCCTGAGCAGCCTTCAGGGCACAGCCCTAAGTAAGACCTTCCTCCCACGAAGTCTTCTTTAAGTGCTTCAGCCTATACCAGGAGTGAGGAACCTGCCACATTGAAGCCATAATGTGGCCTTCTAGGTCCTTAGGTATAGCCTTTTGATTAAATACAAGTTTTACAGAACAAATCTTTTTATTAAAGGGATTTGTTCTGTGAAGTTTGGATTCAGTCAAAGGGCTGCACTTGAGGACCTAGAGGGCCACAGATTCTCCACCCCTGGCCTACACCAATCTCTCCTTTCTCTGAATTTCTAGTCTATTTAAAGTTAACTGTTCTTTATTTCACTTATTTTGTCTTCTCAATCAAGCTTACTCCTTTTTTTTTTTTTGCACTTCCACTGTGTCTAGCATGTTGTGTATATAGCAGGCTCTCAATAATGACTTGGTTGTTTGATTTGTTGGTCTATCTTGTCTCTCTGTTCAGAATGTAAGCCCCCTTACAGAGGGATCATGTACCCTCTTTCACCCTACTATGTAAACGTTCTTCAAATGCAATTGTAATGAAATTGCAAGACTAGATTTCTAAAGCACCAAGGAAACACTCAAGTTATAAAGACTAAAAAGACTGCCACACCCATTCTAGAAATATAAGTGGCAAATCTGGGATCATGCCACTCTGCAGACACAGATTTACAGAGAATAAAGCCTGAGGGAAATAGTTCTATCAGCTGAGGCCTTCTCCTTTGAAGGTAGTCAGCATAGCCTAAAGAAACAAGCACCAGGGACCTACTGGTTCTGCTGGTGTTATTTTGATGATTTTGCTGACAAAAGCTGGTCAAGAATACCTTCCTTGGGGTCCATTCACTTCATTAGGTTTGGTCACAAGAAGGTCAGTGCTATCTCTGGGAAATTATAAATACATGTTGATATTTTTGTGAACCTTTTCAATGGCTTTGTTTTTCAAAAATCTCTTAAATAAACAGAGGCCATGCTGCCTTTCATATGCTGAGAGACAGAGACAGAGAGAGAGCGCAACAGCATACTCACTGGTCTATGTTTGGTTGTGGCTAGTATGGAAGAACTATGAAGGTGATAACGTGTGGGACAGAGACCACTACTCAAATTCAAAACAAAGACTTAGTTACCTTGAAAGCAGAAAGGAGTTTATTGCTTTCTCATGAGAAAGGGTACCGCCCCTGATCGCTCTAATGGCGCTGGCTGGCCAGGGAGGATGCGCACATACAGAAAGCAAGGCTCATTTATACCCTAAGGCAAGTTTCTCCTCCAAAACCCCCTTCCCCTTATCCCATTGGCTGGGCTTCAGGGGGCACAATCTATTCATGGAAATCTTCCCCAGCAACAGAGTACACAAGTTTGCCTGGAGACAAGAAAAGGTGGGAAGTCTTGCAAGGGTTTTAGGTTGGGGGTAGGGCTATTCTATTTTTTCTGCTGTGTGCTTAAAAACAGGGTCTGAAGGGGTTTTGACAAGGTCAGAAGGGAGTGTTTCAACAATACGATTAGAAGGCCATCTGCAACAGGTGCCTCCAATTTCTCGCCTCCCACTCTTCTTACTATCTGGCTTCTGACCTTATCTGGCTCCAAATGACCAGTGACCTCCTAACTGCTGCCCTTTGTGAGAACTATTAACAAAAACTATTAACCCTTTGAGGAGGCTTCACCTCTGAGAGATCATCTCTCACAATAACATTTGTTATTTGGAAGACTATTTTTCTTGGCTATAACAGAGATGCACTAACAGCTCATCCGGATATCCCCAAGTTGTTACACATATCAGAAATGTCATACAGAGCAAATGATAGAAGAGCTAACTACTTCGGAGTATCCCACTATATTTATAACAGCAAATGATCGTTGAAATGACATGTCTGTTGTAGAATGCTGAGGTCTTTTGCACTATGGTCCCCAATTAGTTTTGATCATGGCTTGATTGAATATCTTATTGGTCTGAATACTCCCTCCACCAATGGAGCCTTTAACTCCTGCATGCTTTCTTAACCAAGGGGATTTTTGGTCATATCTTCCCATAAACTATCATACACAGGGTATTTGCACATTGCAGTGGAGGCCTTCCTTTTGCAGCTAGATAGTTGGTTTGTTGAATTAGACTATCAATATATAACCACAGTTACTAATAGAGAAGAGATTCCCTTCGGTGGTGTAGAAAGTAGATGAGCCTTGACCCTGTAGATACAGACCCTGGGAGAGCTCCTATCCAGGGTACTGCAGTTTATACAGCCCCAGTTTAGCAGTAAAGACATAATAACAGGCAAGAAAAGTGCAAGTTAGCTGAAACAGGAAAACTACTTATGAAATGGATAATTAAATCTCTAATAAGTTATTAGCATATCACAATGAGGAAACCAAAGAGCTTTGTTTTGATATATCTTTGTACATGAAACATCAATGAGCATGAATAAAAACTGAATCCTGAATAGAATGTTGGCTGATACTGAAGGTACACATTTAAATGTTTCCTGTGAGGAAATGAATATAAAAGTTGTAATGAGGCAGTTGATGAATTTACAGAATGTGAAAAGACATGCATAAGCACTAATGGGAAAAACAGTGAAAATAAGTAACTGTCTTTGGCATCAAAACAGTTGAATTTGCATAGTACTTAGTACCTTATAAATCTAGATAATAAAACATGAATAAAGTACACATTTTTATGGTTCCTGTCTCCAAGGTACATAAGCACTTGGGAAAGAGTTTACTTATTTTAAAGTATTCATTTAGTTTGAATCTTCTGTTGCACCAAGAATCAAGGTAAGAGCAAGATTTCTTCCTTCTTTTCTTCTTCCTTCCTTCTCCCTATCCCCAAGGAAAACCAGACACAGGTATGCAGAGAACCTACAAATTCTCCACTATGGTCTTAAAAAGCACTAGAAACTCTTAGAATGTTTGGGCACTGGGGGCTGATCAGTAGGCTTGCCTGCCCAAATACGTTTACCAAAACCCTAAGGCTATTTCTACCTCACCAATCACTTCTTTGTCTTCTTTGCTGGCCTCTCTTCATCTCCTGACCTTTAACTACAGATATTCCCCCAAGGTTCTCTTGTTACCCTCTGTTTTTCTTCCCATGTACACTCTTTCAGGAATTGGTCCACTCTCATGGCTTTAACTGCCTTCTTTATGACTTCTAAATCTTGCGCATCCAGTCAAAATCTCCCACTTCTCAAGTCCTTTATTTCCAACTGCCTAGACATCAGGAAGAAGATGTCATGATTTGCAAGTTAATTGGATTTAAGTGAGGCAGGGTTGTGCAAAGTCACCAGCCTCACTCTCTCCTCCCAAGCCATCTGGGTCCAGTGGCAAGATATGATTAGGATGACTGCAGATGGCTCCAGGATGCAGTGGGAGACCTTGGCCTTTTTAAGCTAAGGTCTTTCCAGGTCTCAGTTTGTCTGAGGCAATGTCCATTCAGTGATTAAGGCTAGGTAAAAATGAGGCAAAGAATAGCCTATTTTACCTAGTAAAAAATAAATAAAGTCAATCTGGTTGGGGAAGACCCTCAGGGTTTCTGTTCAAAACAGAAACAATTGCTATTTACACCCACTCTGAGCCATCAGAATCCAAACAATGACTGAGTAAGGCTTAGGCTAGGACCTATTGTTGGCCAATCTAGGAGAGCCAGAGTGATTTGGGTTTAAGGCATGGTCCATAAAAAAGAAATCTAGCCTGTAAACCCCAAGATATCTCACTAGGTTTCAGCAATCAAAATTTATATTCCTTTAGGCAGAGCATCCGAAGGTGAGGTCCCAGCAGTACCTCAAACTTAACACTCCAAACTGGAATCGTTAATTCTCTACTTCCCCTACACAACAACAACCAACCAAAAAACCTCTGGCTTCTTGGCCCAATAGGATTCCTAGAAATAATTTTTTCTTCTATGTCCTAAGGCTTACCATCCAATTGCCATGTGAATATGTAGACATGTGTTATGATTTTCAGTGGTACAGTAGCCAAGCCTACGGAAAGAGATGTGCCAGAACAAGTGTGTGTGGTGGAGAGAACCTTTCTTCTCCTTCTTGAGCTAGTTAGGGAGTGAATAAATACTTCTTCTCAAATGTCTATTGACTGATTATCTGTCTGACTTACTATCCTATAACCAAGTCCTGGTGAACATTTCTTCTCCCTTTCCTTGCCATTTTCACAGCCACTCCCAGTCTAGTTCCTCATTATCTCACACATGGATTACTGTCACTAGCTCCTAAATGGCCTCCTTGTTTCAGTTTTTTTCTTTTTCCTAACCCATTTTTATGTGACCCACCAGATAAATTTTACTAAAACACTATTATAGTCATGTCACTCTCCTCAAAAGCTTATAATAGTCTCCTATTGTTTCAGTAGCCTACTTCTTTGCTGGGCTTTTAAGACTCTCTATAATCTGAATCCATTCTATAATACAATCTTATTTCCCTCTCCAATACTTCCCCAAGCTTCTCCAGCCAATTTCTTTAATATCATCTATGATTCACAGTAATTCATGTCTCTACGCTTTGCTTATGCTATTCTTCAACCCTGGTATGTTTTCCTTTCTTCATGCATTTATGTTCTATATCCATGAGGTTCAAATGAGATAATGGGTATAAAGCACTTTGCAAACCTTAAAATGCTGCATAAATTTCAGTTGTTGTTGTTACTATTCCACAGTAAGATCTCCAGTGTGGTAATGACTTCATTTCCTGAGCCTTCTACTGTACTTCTGAGCTTAAGCAATGTTTATAGAGCAATACAGGAGTATACTGATAAATGTTCCAGAAAAAAGTATACATATATATGTAAACACACACACACACACACATATATATATATACATCCTTTTAAGTTAAATCTGCATTATTAACACTTTCTTAAGTCTAGACAATCAACAAAACCATAAATCAAGACCTGATATGCAGCAATTCAATTTCTGATGTGTAAATACTCACAATGAAAACTTAACAATGGTCTCTCATAAGCTGGTTAGAACTGGCTCCAGCATAATCCTGCCTATATACTCCAGGGTCCAGTTTGAGTCCACTTCTTTCGTGAAAACTTCCCATCCTACTCTAATCTCTCTCTGAAACTCTTATTGTACTCAGTCTGCAAAGGCCAGACACCTTGGGTAATAGGCTGCCCGTTTCCCAGTGTGTGACTGTACCTAAGAAAATAATCCCTGATGCAATGAGTAAAGCAAATACATCCTGGACAGTAGAATCACGGAATCATAAATTTAGAACTAGATAGCTTCTAACTCCTTCATTTCACAGATATGGAAACTGAGACGCAGAGAGGTTAAGTAGTTTGCCTAAAGTCACCTAGGTAGTGAGTCAAACCTAGGTCCTCTCAACTGAAGTCCAGCGTCTTTTCCACAATATCATGATATTCTCTCTCCCCATCTCAGACACCAGAATTCCAAATTATGGCCCTGGTAAAGAGATAAAATAAAAAGTATAGGCTGCAAGGGTGGGCTTATCAATATATCTTGTAAATTCAGAAAGGCTAAGAACTTACGTGATATCAGCATTAGGATGGAGACCAAAAACTTCAGGATTGTCCATTGAAGGGAGTGACTGTATATATTCGAAGTATTGTTCCAAAGTTTTGCAGACCGGGATTTTGTAACCCGTATAAAAACAAAATGTTGGTTCGAACATCTTTTCACTGAACCAAACCTATGTAAGATAAAATTTTAAAATATAAATAAATAAGCATCCAAGTATAAAGGTGGAGAGCAGTTATATCCTTTTTACATTGGTTCTGATTAATATTATTCTCACCATTGAGAGAATAAGTAATGACAAATGAATATTAATTAAACAAGTTCATAAACATAGGTCAAAACAGAAACACAACTGGGTTTTAGCCTCTATTTCATACTAATAACAGTGTTTGAAGTACTTTTCACATAATGACTCTTTAAGTAAATGGCAGAACCACAGCTCAGGTCCAAGACTTCTGACTCCAAGTCCTGTGCTCTTTTCACTGTACCAGGCTGTTTCTGATGTTTTTCCCACACTACACCTTCAAGGAATAAGTGTTTTGCCATGAGGTGAGGGGGAAGCATTTTAAACTTCCTAAAATTCTCTCCTTAATAAGATTGATCAGCTTTGACCTCATTTTATAAGTGGAGTAAAAATGTGGTCAGAGCTCAAGAAAGCAGTTGCCTAAAATGAAGATCATCTGAGGATGTGCGTTGTTCCATCCAACCACCCAAATGGGGCTCCATGTTTAGGAAATTATGTTACTATGAAATCTGCTAGCAGGGATCTGGAAGACATTCCTCCTTTGAAAAGTCCATTTTCTAGTGAAGAGCTTGAAAAGAAGACTTCATATTCCTTTTAAAATAATTTTCAAATCCTTCTGTACAAACAGCAAATGTAGCTAACTGTATTGCTCATGGAAACATAGCTCTAAAGATGGGAGGGACTCTGGAGCTCATCTAATCTAATACCCTCATTTTATAGAAAAGAAAACTGAGGCTCAGAGAAATTCTGTGACTCCGAAGGTCACATAGTAAATATCAGAAGTGGGAATCAAACTAAAGTCCTGTTCCTCAAGTTCAATGCTCTTTCCACTATACTAATTGCCTCTAATTGATACCAATATATATTTTTTCACATTCCTGTGCCCATCCTCCCTCTTCCCTTCTCTGTTATTGTAGAGGGCAACACCATCCTTCCAGTCCTAAGAATCATCCTGGATTCCTCACTGTCTCTCACTCAACATTACCAAGTTGTGGTAAAGACCTGTCAATTTCACCTTTGCAACATCTCTCTAATACACCCCCTTCTCTCCTTTGACATTTCCACCACTCTGGTGGAGGCCCCCATCACCTCATACCTGGACTACTGCAATAGCCTCCTATGTGGATCTGCCTTCATCAAGTCTCTCCCCACTTCAATCCATCAGCTACTGAAGTGATTTTTCTAAAACACATATCTGATCATATCACAAACACTGCCCCCTTTTATTCAATAAACTCCAGTGACTCCCTATCGCCTCAAAGATCAAATATAAAATGCTCCAATTTGGCATTGAAAATCCTTCTTAACCTAGACCTCTCCTACCTTTCCAGTCTTCTTACTTTGCCTCTTTTATATTACCAGTGCTTAGCACAGTGCCTGGCACATAGTAGATGTTTAATAAATGTATGATTGATTGAAATAGAGTAAAAGAATAGAAACAGAGTAAAAGAGCAAATATGTAGTTTGCACGAATGGGCTTCTCTTAAAAATCACAAGTAGACTTACTTTTATGAAGTTACAAAATCAGTATCACAGGATCAAGGAGTTTCTTTCTGTAGAAGGAACCTCAGAGATCTGCTAGTCCACTACCAAAAATCCCCTTTTCAACACCCCTTTCTGGTGGTCATTGAATCTTCGCTTGACATTCTCTTATGACTGCCCATTTCACTTGTGGCAAGCTCTAGCTGTTACACAGTTTTTGCTCACCTCACACCTAGATATGTCTCTCTGCAACTCCCACCTACTGCTTCAAGCTCTGTTAATTGTCATCCTTCTTCCATAGGATAGCTCTCCAAATACATAAAAATGTATGGAGCTGTATAATAAGTGTTACAAAGATGTGCAAACCCTTTGACCCTGTAGTTCTTCTACCAGATCTATACTCCAAGGAGGTTATTCACAGGAAATAAGAGATCAATCTGTACCAAAAAGTTCCCAGAAGCACTATTTGTGATAGTTAAAAAAGAAATAAAGGAAAAAAAAAAACAAGGTGTCTACCAACTGTGGAATGAACAAATTATAATATATAAATGTAATGGAATATTGTTATGCCATAAGAAATTATGAATATGAAGAATTAAAAGAAATATAAAGTGATCCAGAACAAAGAAAAAAGAGCCAAAAAACCAATCTATATGTTAATTAATATAGCTAAAGAAAACAATAACTGCAACAAATTCTGATTACAAGCAAAATAAAGAGAGTCAAAAAGGATTGAGAAAAAAGGACCTCAGGACTATTGTATTAAATCAATATATATATGTACGTATGTGTATACACACACACACACACACACACACACACACACATATATCTTCGGGGTGGAGTTAACATTAGTGAATAGAGTGACAGTTATAGACACATGCATGATGACTAAAAATGTCTTGATTTTTGACAGTTGGTTTCAGGTTCCATATTTATCCTCCTGATTTTTTTCTAGTGCTTTTGTTCATATATTTCAATACTTGTACTTGTCAATGGACATTAAAATAAGATTTGCTAAAATGACTTGAAGGCTGTTATCTGGTCCCTTGGCGTAAGTACCCACTAAGTCAGGTTTCTGACAAGAGTTTTAGGATATAACAGAAAAATTTTCTTGGTGATGTGGGGAGTAACGAAGAAAAAGAGGGAGCAAAGATACCAGTAGAATTGATGATTTTAAGTACTAAATTGGAGAAAAGTTGGAAGACAAGGCAGGTGATTTGTGAGACAAGAAGGCAGCAGCTATTAACAATAGGTCTGATGATGGCACCAGCCTCTCTCCAAGTTTGCTGGTTGCCTATGAGCAGCATAAGAAACTAGAAAGTCTCTGAGTTTTGGGGTTGGTGTTAGACTGTAAATGTAGAGCTGAGTGCTTTGGAAGGAGGAAGATCAACATAGACAGGAGAGGCCTCTTTGTGGCAGAGGACGGCTCTGAGGAGTTTGGTTACATGTATGGTTTTCCTTGTGTGTGTGCTACTATACTGTGCATATCCTGGAAGAAATATGCACTGGGTTGCTAGATATCTTAGTCACATAATATACTGGAAGGATGGACACAGTGATGCAGTTACAGGTGCAGTGACAAGTGTCCTTTACAGCAACTTCTCATCCCTTGCCTATTGTCTCCAACATGCATATGTATAGATCAAGATCTATTTGCAATGGATTAAGGTAGAAACCTCACAAAGGTGTACCCAGAGAAAGTCTGATTCTTGTCAGTAATATTATCCCAGTGACCCTCCATATATTGTTTTCTTTCTTTTTGCTCCCCCTCTTTTCAGTGTTTATTCTGAAATACCCTAAGCTTTTGCTTTACTTTGACCCTATAACTCAGCACCTTATTGGAGAATTTTTAATTTTTCCTGTTTTTGTATCTCCTCCATCACCTGGCTCAGTGCCTTTCATATATGGAAGATATTCTGGACAGTATGCAATTGTTGATAGATTAACGACAGGTAACTTTTGCTTGTAATCCAAGAACTAAGGAATAAAAAGATCAGTAGGTCCCTATCCTCACTTTGCTATAAAACAGATGTTCCCTAAAAGGTTTTGATTAATCAGTTGCCCTACTGGGAGCAGGATTTCAACTAACTGAAATACAACTGATAGGAACTGTCAGTTAACCCTAACTGCTTTTCTGCACTTACATTTTGGAGGCAAAGGTAAATCACAAAGAGACAAAATGATATCAAAGACAGTTTAAAAATACTTATTAAAAACCCTAACTTTATAAGCACTGTCATTAATATAGTACTTTAGAATTTACAAGGCACTTTCCCCATGAGGTGCAATTATTATTATCCTAATTTTACATATGAGGAAATTCAGGGTCAGAGAGGTAATACCCATGCATTGGTATTGGTACCATTTGTATTGGTACCCAGGTAATACCCATAGTCACAAGGTGAGTAAGTGACAGAGTCCACAGTCACATGACTCATGGATTCTGGCAATGTCTGGTTTAAAAGGTAGAACAGCTGTTTCCCAGTGATTCTGGTATGATGCAGCTTCCTGAGATTTCATGTACTTATTTAAGAAGCATGGTACCCTTGAAGATGGTGCTAGAAGTGCAGTAGGAGAACCTATTTTCTGGCTGTGTGTAAGAAGATTCATGAAAAAGTAAAGTGTGAGTGAGTGTGTGTGTGTGTGTGTGTGTGTGAGAGAGAGACAGAGACAGAGACAGAGACAGAGAGAATGGATAAGATTGGAGAGTGATATGAGAAAGATTGAGTAGATATCAGGGTAAATCCAAGAAAAAACTAGAAATGTGTTCTAGTGCCTCCCACCCTCCATCCTATGAAGAAGTAGTGAAGGGCAATGATGAGATTTATTAATCAGATTTCATCTTGTACATTTATCCAAATAGGCATTTTCTGGGCTTCCCTTGGGCTGTTTTGGGAAAGGTGGGGCTGTGCCCCCACAGGACTTAGAGCATGGGGTGTTAGTGACAGCATTGTAGCTGAATGTGAAAGGTTACTAAGTATAGTTATAAGTAGTAGAGCAGAAATTTGAACCCAGGTCTTGTGGCTGTAAGTCCCATGGTCTTTATTTTATATCCCTTTTTGAGCAGTTGGCAAATATATGTACCTTATTTTATTTTTTTATATTGAAAATTGATATAATTTGTTTTGCTACAACAGGTTCCTCCCACCAAACACCCAAATGCTTCCACTCCCCAATACAAAGTATATTCCCTGAAAAGTTTGATTAATAGATGGTACTAACATTGACCAATTTATTTGACTAAACTTGTTGCTTCTCAATATTAATTACATTCACATTGTTACAATGGTTATATATCTTTCTCTCTCTATATATACATATATATATCCAAATATATATATATTTGGATAAATACACATATATATCCAAATATATATATATTTGGATAAATACACATATATATCCAAATATATATATATTTGGA